ACTGTGAATGGAATTGTTATCTTTATTTCATTTTTAGTGTGCTCATTATTGGTGAACAGGAATACTATTGATTTCTGTGTAATGATTGTATTCTGCCACTTTACTGAATTTGTTTGTCAGATCAAAAAGTCTTCTGGTGGAGTTTCTGGATCTTCTATGCAAAAAATCCTATCATCTACAAATAGGGCCAAATTAGCATTTCTAACCATTCCAGGACGTGCTGGTGCCACTGGTCAGAGGAAACAATTTGATAATATGTTAGATGTCACAGTCATTCTTGGCAATGCCTTACACAGTACCAGACATATTAGTAAATACTTGTGGAAGGAAAGACAGAAAGAAGGATTTACTGAATACCTAACATAAAGTTTTCCGACAAGTAGATGGAGATCTCAAAGGCTTTCCTGGTGAATGTCTAAACCAGTCCTGACCACCAGGCCAGCATCCATCAGTTTTGCAAAGAATTCTAGGGAGACACAGAACCAACCGAGACACTTCAATATTACCAAAGCCTCTCAGAATTTCAGAGAATGGGAACAAAGCTCCCTCTTAGAAAATAGCCCTGATGCTGGAAGGGAAGAAGAGGTATTGGGAGCACACTTTATAGTGAGTTTCACATCCCGTTGCACCACTGTGTGCAGTTGACTGTCACAGCAGATGTGTCCCAACAGTCCTAACCCCAGCTGCACCCACTTGCTGCTCAGCTGCTGCCATTCATGGGAAGCCTGAAGGATCTGAATCAGCCCTTCTGGGCACAAATGCAAACCTTGAAAAGTGAGTGTGTTTCTACCCCTCAGCAACACTTGACCAGTGGGGGCTGGGAGCCAGCAGAAAAACATTCCCCCTCTTCCACATCTCAAGTGGAGGACTCTGAAGTGCATTCCACAGTCCCCCAGCGAGTCCCAAAGGGATTTAGCACTGGTTGCATACTGTGCAACCCAGCTCAGTAACTAACTCTTAAAAATTGGCTTTCCTTCCTTCTCTTGGTCACTATTCCATTTCTGCTCCCTGAGATGCCTTTCCAAAATAAACTGCCTAACCTAGGGCTTGCCTCAGCTTCCACATTTGCAGGTGGTGACCTGATGCTAAGACAATGTACAGACAAGTGCTCCACTCAACACACAGGTGGGGAGGGGGCAGAATCAGCACTAGAGGGACTCACTCTTCACCAGGGCCCAGTGCTTGGTACGTGGCTTCACATCTAGTAAATTCTTTAAAAATAAGAATTAAATGGGTAAAAGAAATTAAGTAATAGTCAACTATGATGAATAGACTATAATTTCTGTGTTGTATGATACAGACTGTAAGCAATGTAATTAGAGGAAAAGATGAAGTCTGAAACCGAAGGGAAAGATAGAGAGCCTTGAATAATGATCAGGAGAGGAAAGCAGGATGAGAAAAGGAAACAAGTCTTACATACGGAAGAGCCATTGACTGGCCTCACCACAGTTGACAATCTAGAAACAGAGGAGAAGAGAGGGAGGACAAAGTACCCAGGAACAAAGGAGGAGCTCAACAACCAGGCGACAAGAGATTTCCATGGTGGTTCATGAAGGCTTGTGAGCAGAAGTGTGAACAAGCTAATTTCTCCAATTAACCACATGAAACTTTCTACATGACACACCACAACCAAATTCTTGGCCTTACAACATGCAATTCACTCTTTTCTTTCTTCCTTCTCTTGCCTTTCCTTCCTTTCTTTTTGTTTCTTCCTTCTTTCCTCCTTTCTTTTTTAGCGCAACTATGTGATAATGCTAATTGGCCAGGCACACATGGCAGAATTATTTTTCTTAATCCATAAAACAACCCCTTGAGATAGGGTCATTACTGTCTCCATTTTACAGATGGAGAAACTAGGATACAAGGAAGCTACAGAGCTGGGGGTGAGATTCAAACTCTGCCAATATGGCTCCCTCTTTCATATTTGTCCCCCACAGTTAACGAAGTCACCACGTTCTACATGATAATCCCACAGGATTCCTTTCCCAATGTTTCCCATATGTTGCATCCCCACCTTTTGCAGAGCCTATCACCCCATTGTGATTCGTACATTTCCTAAACATTGACCAAGTTCCTAGTGTATATCCCAGCTGCTGGGCCAGTGGCTAGAAATGAGTGTCCACTTAGCCAAAAAGATGCATTCAGAGATAGGCATGTAAAATGTTCCTGGGAGTTTGACAGAGAAGCTTATAGGTCAAGTGGGAGAAACGTGGAAATGACTCACAGAGGAAGAACTATTTGAACTGAGTCTTCCTGCTAGGAAAGGTGTTACAGACTCTGAGAGATGAACCAAGTCATGGAGAAGTGAGCCGACACATCAAGGTAGGAGGGTGGGCCTGGATGAAACTAAACCCTCAACAGCTGTTCTTGAGCAGCAACCCTAGAGGTGGGAGGAATAACCAAATGAGTGTATGCTATCCCACTCAACACTGACATTGCAGTAAGGTGAAGGAGAACAAAGGTTTCCCCACTGTGCCTGAGACATAGTAGGTACATAATGAAAGTCTGTTGATCATCGTCTTCTTCCAACACCTCTTTAAATCTCATTACTTAGGGTAGCTTTCCATAACTCTCTGCATAAAATCAAGATCAGGCACCAGGGATGTACCTCAGTGTTAGAGTGTGCACTTGGCATGTGCAAGGCCCTGGGTCCTATCTCCAGCACCAAAAATAAATAAACAAAGAAATATCAAAATCAAATACTTTTCCAAGATTCAAGGTCCCTATCATCTGCTCTCATTTTGATTCTGAACTTACTCCTTGTTACTTTCCAGATCAATCTTTTACTTTTGAACACACTGCAGGGAAATAAGAAGAAAATATTCCTACATTATGTGTTTGTACATATAATTTTTCTTGCCTAGAATATTGTTCTCCTTTATTTTCTACTCATTTTATCTATGAGCTTTTTTTCAGGTATCCAATACAAGGAAGATTTTTTTTTTTTCACTTAACTGTTTTTTGTTTGCGGGAGTGTTTGGTTTTTGTTTTTAACCTTTCTCTACCACAGTCCCATGGCACTTGTGGATTAAAGTTTGATGTGTTTGGCACTGATGAAACTTTGCTCCGTATGGCTCTTAAGGCCATGCATATATATGACCCGAACACAGTAGGTGTTCAAGAAATGTTCATTGGATTCAAAATGAAATGTTAAGAAAGTACCACAAAGAAAAACCTCACATTGAGGCACTGTGCTATAAGGTGCCTGTCATAAAACTTTCCCTCTCTTCCTCCCCTGAAACACAAATAATGATTGATCAGGCAAAAAACAGTTCTAGTCTCCCCCGAGGAACTACTCTTGACAGAATGGAAGCATCATTTTACACTGGACAAGATGCTTCTAGAACAGTACGAGCACACGTAAGTTCCCAATAACTAGAGTGTTTGTGGAAGCTAATTAAAACAATCAACTTTCTCTCACACCTGCCACAATGTGGTACATTTCTCTAACAACAAAGTTTGTGAGCACAACTTGAAGGGCAATCCAAATCAAACATAGAAGTCATTGTGTCCATTTTACATGCTGTCCCATCCCAAAAGTTTCAGAAGTCTTTTCTTTCTTCTTCCTGGAGTTCAGTCTATAAATAGCTTAAGTTAGTTAGGACCTTCATCTCTCTACACTCTTGGGAGCTATTAGTGTAACCTCTCCAACACTTGCCACAAATTCCAAAAATGGCATTTTCATGTATTCTGTGGATAACAAGATGTAATGGCACTGCGGACGGTCACTTCAAGAAGTATGATAACAATATGCTGTGTCCTAAATAAAATCCTTTCACTCCATTCTACGCGGGTCTTTTTGAAAGAAAAAAGTAATTAACAAGTAAGTTACATCTTAATCCCCAAATGATCTGGAATAGCATAAAAGAAAAAAAACGAAACGTTGCAATGAACATATTAATCCTGGGACTCCAACGTCTACCCAACAAAACTGCTTTGAAACCAAAATCAACCCATAAGCTGCTAAAGAAAACTTTGGAAATTTTGCTGCTCTTTTGAAACCCCCCTCCAACAATATTCTCTATACTCTGAATAAAATAGTTCAGTGTTGTGAGGTGAGGCTCGCCTCTGCCTCCAATCCATGTACCTCCCGATGCATTGCGATCGGCCGGCTGACACATGAGATCTAAAGTGGGTGGATAAAAATAACCCGGTCTTCAAAAAGACATGATAAACGCCAGGCAGCTGAGTCACTTTGAAGCCCGTTCTGACTCCTGTAAGGGACATTCACCTTTCTTTTGCTTCTCACACACTCACAGACAGACAGGTGGAAAGCCACCCCTGGTGGGAGGTGGTGATGCGGCATGGCTGGCTCCTCCGGGCTCTGAGGTTACCACTCGGAATTGAACTTTCAATAATTTATACTGGCCCACGTCAGCCCAAGTGACTTATTTATAAGAGAAAGGAGGAAAGGCCGAAGAAAATCGTAATCCATTAGTCCCCTGTTTCTGCGGCCCGGGTGGCGGCACAAAAGCTGCTTCTCACATTCTGATGGCGAGAGAGTGAGGAGAACTGGGAAGTAGGGGGAGAAGGGCTCAGAGGGACACCAGAATTGTCCAGGTTGGGAATCCCTGGGCAAAGCATACGGCCACCGCCAGAGGCAGGCCGCGCGTGGTGGGGAGCGAGGATGGAGCCCCACTACCTACCGCGCGGCTCTCGCCCGGGGGCGCCAGCGATCTGCACCGCGCAGCTCGAGCGGGGCGCTAACTCTGCCACCCTATGTCCCTTCCCGGCGGCGGCGGGGCTGAGGGCAGCCTGCGGGGACTCGGCCTCGCCGCCCAGAAGCCCGGCGGCGCAGCCTCCACCCTAGCGCCCCGCGCCGGGCTGCAGAGCCCCGGGCGCTGGCCAAGCGCCCGCCCGAGCGCAGAGCCGCGAGCCAACTCGGGCGCCCGGAGGAGGACCCGGCCCCGCCGCGCATCGCCCCCGCCCCAGCTCCGCGCCGCGGGCTCCGGGCCGCCCAGGCCTCCAGCGTCGCGACCTTCGCGGGGCGCCACACTTACGGGGGAGTCATAGGAGAAGGCGCACTCGTTCTTGTAGACCCTGTCCCCGGACCTGGGCACGCGGATCGTGGGCATGTGGGGCACCAGCAGCTCGCCGATGTCGCCTGCAGCCATCTTCCTGCCGCCGCCCAGCACGCCGAACAGGGCGCCCCGGCGCTGCATGGCCGCGAGCGCCCAGCACTGAGCCGAGCGGGCCGGCCGGAGCGCGGTGCCGCGACGCGAGCCCAGCGGGGCGGGCGGCGGGGCGGGAGCGGGCACTAGAGCCCGGGGCGGGGGCGCTGCTATTTTTAATCCAATGGCGAGTCGTCGGCCCAGCTGCAGCGTCAGGCGGGGCGCTGGGCAGCGGCAGCCGCAGCGCGCCGGGGAGGGGGCGCCGGAGGGGCCTGCACCCGCATGACTCGGCGACCGGGGCCGAGCCGGGAGCCCCGAGCCCTGGGAGGCGGGACACCCCGCGCCGAGGACCTCTGCTCGCCCACGCCGGCGGCGGCCCGGGGCACCAGCGCGGTGTTTTCGATCCAGAATCCTGCCTGGCCAGGGGGCAGCTCCGAGGAGCCCAACACAAAGACTGGGAGTTGTTTAAAAAAAAAAAACCGAAAAGCGGCCACTTCCCCGGATTGGGAGGGAAGGGTCGGTGCACAAATCCACAGGGCCTCAAACCTATTTGCGCCACGCACTTCGGTACTACCTCACTTTTTTTTTAAGCATCAAAGGCTCAGTAAGAGACTAGAATAGAGTCCACTGAGGATAGATGTGTGTGTGTGTGTGTAATAATACAGGTTTTTCTTACTTGTTGCAAAGGGAAAGGGATAGTCAGGATTATTTTTCAGGCCAGAGGGAAGCTTTATGTTTTTCTCTACCTTTAGAACTCCTTCTGTATGCTTCAAGGACCCTATGTCGAACATTCAAGGGCCTGGTTTGAGGATCTTAAGTGCAGACGGACAGACTATTCCTATCCTGCTCATCCAGGTCCTCCAAACAAATAATGAATGGGTTGTGCTGGGGAGGTAATGATTTGCGAACCAAGCACAACTCACAAAATACTCTCACCTCCTCCTCCAAAAAAAGTCTTAAACACGGTTCAGTTCCGTGAGGTTCCCCTAACCACAGCAAACTCACTCATAGGGTAGGGTGCTCGGCAGTCCCTGCCAGTTAATGCAACAGAAATACCAATGGACCTACAGGCTGGTTTCTGTTAAGCCTCTCGTAGACCAGATAGTACTTAAAGTCTTTTATTACTGGGTTTTGTTTTTGTTTTTGTTTTTGTTTTGCTAAATTATTTCTCTGTTTCTCTCGCAAGTTCTCCGTGACTCTCTAGACCTGTCTAGATTTCCACATCCTCAAGCAAGACTTGAGCAGACTTGTAAGTCACAATTCCAAATGTGCCTGATGGAAATGCAAGGGGCCGTGTGGCACAGAGCGAGAAATTCAGCACTGTTGCTCTCCTCGACGTCACCCAAGTACTCTCAACCAGGTTTGTTTGGGATTTATTCCCACCAGTTCGCCATCTTCTACGTAGCACCTGTTTAGGTTTATGGACGACACACGCTCCAAATACAGGGGAAAACGATTCGAAATGCTCGAAACTTGAAGTTTAATCTTAGACTAAATGTAAATTAAATCAGTGAGGCACTGTTTTTCATCTTTCAGGCTGATAAAGATGTATTGAGTTAGCCTTATTGGAGAAATGGGCCCCCCTGTATATTGTTGGTAGAAATAGCAACGGGAAATTTTGGAAGGAAATTTAATAATCTCGATCATAATTTTATTTGCCTATACTGTTTTCCCTGTAATTCCTTGTCTAGACATTTATGCTACAGATAAATTCAGCCACATAAGAACGTTTGTTGGTGCGCTGTTTATAGTGACAATAGGCTGAGAATGATGTAGACAACCACCTGTAGAGAGTGATTAAAATAAAGTACTCTTGAAAAGAATGAATAGCTCTACATATGCTAATATGGAACAGTCTCAAGTCATATTACTGGATGAAAATAACAAAGTGTGAATCAGTGTATAAAACTGAGGAAAGTGTGCAAGATTGATAATACATAGGAAGCACTCTAGCACATCCTATATATCACGGGCCTTCCTTCTGGTTGATTGTACCTGTGGTAAATATTTTTAATGTTGCTCCTCAAGATAGACATGTCCACGTGCTTGCAAGGTTTTTGCCTTTAGATGTCTCCAGAAGAATACAAAAGAAACTATTCACTGTTGGGGATCTGTGGACAGGAGGTCACAGGAGGATTTACTACTACTTTTTGCCTTTTTATACTGTTCAAATTTTTATTATGTGCAAGAATTATGTTAAAAATTAATGGTTTTTTTCAGATCATTATTTGTTCAGTGTTGGTTTTGGGGACCTTTCTGAAACAAATCACATCCTCTCGTGTCTTGTTGGTGCTTGAGATGCTTTTTTAAGTTATATGGAAAAATGTTTAAGTGCTTTTCAGTTTTGTTTTGGTTGAGTTCTACTGTATTTGAATATTATTGTGTTTTTTCCCCTTGCATTGTTCTTCTTTGAGTGTTTTTAATTTTTTGTATGTGTGTGTGTTTGATAATGAAGTTATTTAATAAAAAAATTAATAAGACTTCAGTTGTAGAAACACTTCAAGTTCAATAATCAGTAACAGTAAATGCAGGTTGAAGACAAGTGCCACATCACTGTAACTAAGCATGTCAACTTTTTTCATAGATTAAAATTATGGAAAATGGTATCTATACAGCCGACTGAAGTAATCAGTTAAAGATGCTTCTTGCAGCCAAAGGCTGCTTGTCGGGTGGCTCAAATCACCACAGGCTCCACCTGTTCCCTCCCAGAGAGCTGAGGAGATGTCACACCTCAGTCTCATCTCTGCACCCCAGAATGCCAATGGCATGCCAGATGGAAAGATCTAAATGGGGGAAATTGAAACCATCTAACCATAGGGGAATGATTAAATTGGGTACTACTCAAAGATGCCTATACAAATCTTAAAATGGGGCTGGGGATTTAGCTCAGTGGTTCCAGTGCCTGCTTCACAAGCACAAGGACTGGAGTTTGATCCTCGGTACCAAAAAAAAAAAAAAGAAAAGAAACTGCTTGGGCTGGGGATTTAGTTCAGTGGTTCCAGCGCCTGCCTCACAAGCACAAGGTCCTGAGTTCAATCCCTGGTACCCCCCCCAAAAAAATCTTAAAATCATAAGTATGAAATAATTGTTTCATTATTTTTGTAGTGCATTGCTTAATGTATAATGCTTCTATGATATTATTGCAACTGGGTAAAAATAAACATGCATTTTGACATGGCCAAAAGGATATAATAAATTTAAGTAGTTAGGTTTGGGATTTGGTTATGAGATTTTGTTTCTTCTTTGAAAATGTCTCCAATAATGTTACTTTTTTTATACAATATAAAAAGTTAGCATGACAAAAGTGTTAGTAAAAGGAAATTCACTAAATAAAAATATGTTAATCAAAACATTTTAGGGGCTGGGTGTGGTGGCACTATCAGTAGTCCCAGCTACTCAGGAGGCTGAAGCAGGAGGATTGCTTGAGCCCAGGAATTCAAGAGCAATCTGGGCATCATAGGATGACCTTGTCTCAAAAAATAAAAATTAAGGGGAGGTGGGCGCATTTGAAGAAAAAGTTCTATTTCAATTACTAGAACGTTTAAACATAATTTTGCAAGTTCTACAAATGAATTTCTTACTGGACTATTTTTTGACTCACCAATTTCTGCACGTGGATCTCAATCAATACCCAAGAAGGAAAAAGTGATGATGGGTAATTTTAACTTCCAACATAAATTCAAAGCCTTAACCTGGAGATTCTGAAAGGCATTAAGACTAAGAACTGGCTTTTGCCTGTCAAGGTACTGAGGCTACCACATCACTCCACTGGTCAAAAGCTCCCATGATGCTCAGGGTGGAGCCCTGGCTCCAATAGAGTGACACTCCGGGGCCTCTCCTGACCTTCCAACTTGACCTCTCACTCACCCCAGCACTTGTAGAAACATCAACGCACTGTCCCCTAAGTAGAAATGAACTTGCAACAGGTGAAAGGATCCTTTCACTCACAGCGGCAGCAAGGCCCCTGAGCCTACTACTTTAACTCCCTCACACCTGCATGAGCAGAACTTTATTAGGTGGGTGGGGTCTTCAGCCTTGAAAAGTGCAAGCAATTGATCCAGAGAGTGACCAACCTGCTGCTGAGAGAAATGGGTTTCTATTGATTTGCTGGCAGAGGGGGTAAAGCCCAGTAAATTTCCATTGGCCAAGAGCATGGTTCCAGAAGATATTTCCTCTTTTCATGGATTTGGACCACTGAGTGTTCAACTTCATCCTAGAAGCCATTGAGTTTTTGTGTGTCTGGCATCAGCCTGTTCAAAACACCCGGCCTTGCACTTGGTGGGTTTTTAACAGTCTGTCAACTTTGGCCAGGAGCTGCTGCATTACTCTGACAGCTGGTGTCATCATCTTGTGTAAACCTCCCGGACTTATGGTGACTGAAGGACTGTCAGAGTCTGAGCTGCTGAAAAAAACATAAAGGTGGAATAGAAGAACTGTGGTTTACCACCTCCAACAGGAAATAGGCCAAGTTAACCCTGAATCACAGAATTGGATGAAGCATGATCAGCCTACTTGCAGAGCTGAGTAGAAGCTGACTCAAGAGTTAAGACTGCAAAGGAGACAGACACAATATGAAGAGAGATCCTGCGAATTTTATCCTGTTTTAGTCACCCATCAGACATCTGCAGGCCCCAATGAAGTCAGTGTCTTCAGCAAAAGTGCCCTTCAGGTCACTGGGAAGTAACCCAAGCAACTGTTATAACCCACACGTCAGAGGTGCTATCTGCAGAAAAGCCAGTAGGAAGCTAACAGTGTATCTCCCAGCTGTGGGACATCCAAAATTAGTAATTTTAAAATGATTAAGAACAAAGGAAGCAAGAGCGTTTTTTCTTGATAACAATTTCTCATTTCATGCCAACATGCTGCAGTTATGGTTTTATCAGGGTCTCCTGATGGGTATGTTACAAAGGGCACCCAAGAGTTTATCATCCCAGCCTTCTGTCCCACCACTGTCCCACCATGGTGGTCCCTAATTATCTCTCAGCCTTTGTTGACAGTTCTCTCCCATTTTTATCTTCTTAATTCTTTCAAGACTTAGTATTTGGGGCTGGAGATGTAGCTCAGTGGTAGAGTGCTTGCCTATAATGTATGAGGCACTTGGTTCTAGTCCCAGTATCACCAAAAAGGAAAAAAAAAGACAATAACTTGGTAACTTTTTCCATGAAGACCTTTCTGACTGCCTCAGAGATGAATCTTAAAAAATCACAACCCCTATAGTCTGTTTTCATCATGAAAAACTTCTTTATGATAGCTCTTGTACTGTGATGCAATTAGTCTTGGTCCCTTGTCTTATACCTCTATAGGGAGCAAAGCCTATGAAATAAGCTACATTTCTTAGTGTCCTTGCAGATTATGAAAGCTCAGTGTTGGTGGAATATTGCCCTCCTAGAAATGGTTTTATTTTAGGCACTCAATAAATATCCAGCAAATGAGTGGCTCATATCAACAACATTGTAATAAATATGTTTTGCATTCAGCTTTGGATCTTTTCGATAAAATTCATTGTCGCACAAATGTTATTTCCAGGAACTGACAGAGGTTACATTAAAATGTGATGTGAATATTAGTTATGAAGACTAATTCCAAAAAGGGGAACTGGGTAATTCTACAGAGGAAAAAGATATTCTAATTATTTTAATTAATGGAATAGCTCTTGACCTCGGATATGTTCCAGCAATGTACAGTGTGATCCAAGCTGAAGCTGTATTTAGTGAGATTTGTTAGGGAGAAATAAGCATAAAGTACTTTATTATGGTAGTTAAACTTTGCAAAAAATGTAATACTAAATATAGACCAATAGGGCAATGGTTAAGAAGTTAATGGCATTTTCTCTTTGAGATAATGCTATTTAGCCATAAAAATCATGTAATATAAGAATATTCCTTGGTGCAGAAAGATGATCAGTATAGCATAGAGCAAAGTATAGATTAGGGTGCGCTATATGTTAACAGTGGCTATCTCTGAGTTTAAGGGTTTTTTCCTTGTGCCTTTCTGTGTATCTAAATCTTTTGCACTGAGTATTTTTTGGTGAGTAAAGAAAAACTTTTTATAGCATCACCAGTCATATCAATTTCCACTTTCACCTTCCCTCTTTCTCACTTGCCCCTTCACCACCCATATAATAGTAAACAGGTTTTGCTATTAGATTCATAAACAATCTGCCTAGCTGGAGGGTAGGTTCACATAGGAATGAGCAAACTCCTTGAGCAGCTCTTAATATCAGGGTGAGGTAAGCTGTTATTCAGTTTATGAGGAAATCTGAGATGCCTGCTCACCTTTTCAGATTTCATGATGTGCAGTACTCCCACTGTCCTTGCAAGAGCCTGACTCATAAGAGACTCACAGAGGTGGGCAGATTGTCTTCCAGTCTAGTCTGACAACAATTATCCTTCTTCAAGCCCACCATTTCCGTGCACACACAGGGATAAATGTCCTCTACTCTGGGGTAGGGAAGCTCAGTGTGAGCAGTCATGAAATCCTAACAGTGAGCCAGAGGATGCTTTTCAGTTTTCCCAGTAATGGGTCAAAACCAATTATCTAAATACGACACATATTGATTCCAAAATCCAAAGAAGCTCACCAAAAAATTGTCTCCTTCTTAGTGATAAGGAGCTCAAGATGAAAAATTTGACCTACACTTTTCTAGGTTGGTGAATTCTCTCTGAAATATCACTGGCATGGCAAGTCCCTGTATTTCCTTGGAATATATCCCCCACCCCTCTGTCACAGAGCACTACCCACTTCCTGTTATCTAGATCCTATCTATACACTGTCCTCAATACAAGGATTCGAGTCATGCACCATAGACATTGATGGTTAAGATCATCAGTGATTAAAACTGAGGTACTTGGGCCAGAGTCTGCCTGTAGCCTATCTTTGTAGGGAAAGTTTTGTAGCTACCCTCATCCATCTATATATTGTCTATGACAGTTTTGTGCTGCAATGGAAAAGCTGACTGGTTCCAATGGAAATTGTATGAACTAAATACCAAGGTATTTACTATCTAACCCTTTATACAAAAAGCTTGTCAAATCCTGGTGAAGATCACTGCAGACTCTGTATTGTAATACAGAATCAGAGACTGGATATGACCTTGAGTAAACAATCAAGCCTAATGAGGAAACTGCTTTCTCCATATCAGTAGTTGCAAACTTAATGCCAAGAGTTCATGGATTTGCTTCAGTAAGGGACCATCTTTGAAATATCAGCCAAATTGGAATCACTCCCTTGGTCACTTTACTATGGCTCGACATTATTCTCCATTCCATTCACAGCCAGTATGATAACAATCACCAAGCCTGTTTCTTGGTCCTTGATGAT